AGCCTACCATTAAAGTTGCCTGAAAGAAAAATTTTTCAACAGAATGTTTTCATATTAATCTTTTATTGACAATTTAAAGAGTATGAAAACTCCGAATACTGAAAGAGCAAACATTTAACACGTAGATCACTCGCCTTTGCATCATACGTTTAATATCTTAGTTTCCAAAAACTCCAAAGTTGGCACGTTTTGATTTGATTTATAATTGTTTACAATCAATAATTAATTGCCGACTGTTTTTGCGGTTGACTTTAATATTGTTTTTCATCTGTAGAAATTAAAGTTAGCCTTTTAAAATATAAATGCATGCTTTTAGTTGTATAATAAGGATATATATAAATTAATATTCAAGTCTTTGTTAACTGTACTAAAGAATTTCATACTGTATAATTATTATCCCCTTCATACTTGTTAAACTTAGTTCAAATTAGTTTTAATATTCTCTCTGCTACGCAAATGTTTGATTTGCAAGCTCATTTTATTTTATGAATTTAGGGGATGTATGCAACATAAACTACTGATTCTGATTTTACATTGTCTCGTAAAAATAACTTTGCTCATTTGTACGTGTATCATATCCAAAATTAATTATAAATTTTTGTCTTGCCAAATAGTAAGTATGGTAGTTGGTGGCGGAAGAATATACACAAAGTAGTGTAAACGAACATTCTAGGTATTTCACAGTACCAAGAAATATCTTTGGGTTTTGGTGCAGTGGAACTCCATTTTGGTGAGAAGTATTTGCCACCATACACTAGATATACCAAAGCGTTTTATAGCGTAGAAAATGATACCTAAGAATATGGCATAAAAATTATTTATTCGGTTAAATTAACCTTTCAGTTTTCTATTTCTTACGAAATGTGTGGTAATAAGAACTACAATTTTAAAAACCAGAATTGTCTGTAAAAACCATTACGATACGAATGAAAAAATTATAAAAGAAATGGTTTAATTACAGGATATTTTGGTTTTATTACCTGAATTATTCCCCCCCCCCCACCAAAAATGCCATACATGTGCTGTTATTTTACTAGAATTTTCTTTTCTACATGCAGTAATACGTTTTAAAAGCGAAGATATAGGAAAATATATACATGGCGGAAGAAATCATAATTCAGTGTTGTTAGTCATAATGACTCAGAAGTAGGTATAGTTAGAAAAATTGCAAAAAAATGTAATTTAAAAAAAATGTATGGAGATAATAGGAAGTGGAAAATTTTTCGTTTCTTCCTCTTTCCTTCCAAACTAATTTAGAATCAGTGTCTAAAATTATCTACAGTACATGCTAACTCAGTTTTAGAACCCTAACACAAACGTCTCTGGAGTTATAAGGGACATAAAATAACACTCAAACTCTTCCGTTTATTATTATAAATTATTGCTTAATTGCTGTTAATTACTTTCCTTCCAAACTAATTTAGAATCAGTGTCTAAAATTGTCTCTAGTACATGCTAACTCAGTTTTAGAACCCTAACACAAACGACTCTGGAGTTATAAGGGACATAAAATAACACTCAAACTCTTCCGTTTATTGATATAATTTATTGCTTAATTGCTGTTAATTACTTTCCTTCCAAACTAATTTAGAATCAGTGTCTAAAATTGTCTCTAGTACATGCTAACTCAGTTTTAGAATCCTAACACAAACGACTCTGGAGTTATAAGGGACATAAAATAACCCTCAAACTCTTGCGTTTATTAATATAAATTATTGCTTAATTGCTGTTAATTACTTTAAAGTCCTCTTCAGAGTTAAAGGGATTATGTTTCCTCCACGTTAACCTAAAGAGAATTATATAAATTCAGTTTCATTACTTATTAAGTAACTAATAGACTCCCTAGCTGCTATTCAATGGGTGCCAGCTTGTTTAGAGGTAAAGGCGGACGGTACGTAAAACTCACCACCATCCTGTCGCGAAATTATAGATCCCTTAAATTCCCTGATTCCTCCTGTCTAAATTTGGGCTGCTTCAGGAATGCTTTTTAGCAGCTCTTTTATATTTTAGAATATTTTTGGTAACACAATTCAAATGTTAAAATTGCAAGTATTTTTTGAAACTTTTTTAGAGTTCTAGTTTTGAAAATACGTACAGCCTTAACATTTAAAATTTTATAACTATGCTCAATAAAACATATTTCAAAGAATTAAATGAAATAGAAATGTTCGAAAATATTATATTAGCTGTTTAATTAAATAGGAGATTGTGCTCGTGTAATTAATTATTTTTAGTACAAAGTGGAGGAAGCAGAATCTTTTTTCTGGAATCCCTTAAGTGGAATGCCGTTAAATTTTGTAAATTGGGAACATTCTCATAGTAATTAAGTTTTTAATTCCAGCCCTAAATTTGTTTGCTTTATATAACTACGGTGCGCTATATAATGACATTAAAACATATAAGATAGCTAAATTTAGATCGTTATTTAGCAAGCCTTTTCCTCTAAAAAAAAACTATCTTTCCGTTTAATTACTGAGTGATTGGATTTTCACGCACTAAGTTTTAGTCTCATTTGCGCAAGTGTATTATTTTTAATATGCAAATTTATTAATATTACTATTACTAATTAAATTATAAAATAAGACATACACCTCAGGTTTTTAAAATAAAGTGTGATAATTACATTTTATTGAAGTAATTAATCAAATGCAAGAAAAATATATGCAGTAGTTGCTAATGTGATTTTTGAATGCAACATTTCCTTAATCTCTGTTCTTAATGTCTGACCTCAATCTCTCTTTGCAATGTCCTTCATTACACTCTATTGGAACTAATTTTTTAAGAATTCAATTGAAACTAAACAATTATTCTCTTATTAATATTTCAGAACTAAAATTCCCTTTTCATTAAGACGTTTTATTCATTTTATGTTGAAAAAAATAAATGTAGTATAATGTAACTAGAGCCGCTATGGTTCAGTGTCTTAGGGCACTGAACTGCTGTTGAGAAAGACTGTGGCTTGATATTTAGTGAGCTTTTTGAAATCCACAAAGCTTTGAATCGAAAGGATATAGCGTGTGTAAAAGGTAAAGGCGGCTTACTCGCAATGCTGACTTCATATTGTCGTTGGTCAGAAAATTGTAAAACGCTAACTCCATGCCCTCAACGTGCTGTTGTAAAAATGCTTTACTTTTTATAATTTGCTTGATCTTATTGACGAAGTTGTTTCTTATTTTAAGTCGAAGCCCCAATAAAAGTTTCAAAAATGCTTTGAAATTTTTTTTTCGGATTTTACTCTTTGCTCAATTGTTAAATTTTTTAAAATTATTAATTTTAAAATACATTTTCTCAAAGTTTTTGTTTAGTTAAGAGATAATTAATTTTAAATTTGTTTAGAAACAAATTCATTAATCTTATTTTTCATGAAGATGTTTTGCAAGAAAATAGTTCAAGTAAAATAAAGATTAATTCGTTAAGGAACAAAAAATATTCTGTTTAATACAATTTTTAAGTGGCCCAAGCAATAAAGTCAGTGAAAGTAGTGCTTCACATAAGTTTAGCGAGCTTACTTAATTTACCAAGTCCTATTTTTCTGTTTATGATGTTAGTCAAGTTTCTAGACGTTATCACCGACATGGGTAGTACAGAGTACAGATTTGACGTCACTGAAGCTCGTAAAGTTGACATCAATTCCTATGAGAGTATTAAATTTTGGTGCGATGACCAATATTCTCTCTTGCAAGACTTCTCAATTATTGATATTTGTCGAAAGCTACCTTACTTTTATAGCATGTTCTAGAATGTGTATTGGAATAGCATTTAATCTGCTCATATTCTTAATTCATGCATTGTTAATGGGTAACAAAAATAGTTAAAGTAATGAATTTTTGGATAAGTTATGAAAAGTTCTTTTATAGAAAATTCTGTGTGGTTTAAATTAGATTTGTTTGCATAACAAATATGCGATATTGCTACGAAATAAAAAAAAGAATATCAGAATATATATATATATATATATATATATATTCTGATATTCTTTTTTTTATTTCGTAGCAATATCGCATATTTGTTATGCAAACAAATCTAATTTAAACCACACAGAATTTTCTATAAAAGAACTTTTCATAACTTATCCAAAAATTCATTACTTTAACTATTTTTGTTACCCATTAACAATGCATGAATTAAGAATATGAGCAGATTAAATGCTATTCCAATACACATTCTNTATATAAGTTAAAAATAAGCTCTGGGGAAAGATGCATTTCATTAACGAAAGTCAGGCAGCTATGCTTTTTTATTATTTTCTTACTTATTCCTCTCATTTTGAAGCTTTGTGCTAAGATAAATGTCTTATGAGTTTATGTAAGAACGAGAAAAAAATATTTGTGCCACTAAACACTGTCTTTATAAAATCATAACATATATGAGTTGAATAATTTTTTATAAATCAAGGGTATCATAGGATATATAAGTTTCATATTTTTAGAACTTTTTCATATTTTTAGAATGCACATTTCTACGTATAAATATGCTGTAATTATAAAATAAAAGTATACAATGACAGAGTGAAGCAAGTTTGTAGAATTGTCAAGCAATTCAAAAGAAATTGTGAAAGCAGTTACGGATTTTGATGAGCGCTTTAGTATGTTTATGAATAAAAGTTTTCATTAATATATTTTTTCTCAATCACATCAATTTCAAAATCAAGCTCTTCTAATACATAGTTTTTCACTACTAAATCATTTATATAAATATTCAAAATCATTATAAGTTAACTGCATTTGCGTTGCGTCTTAAATTATATGTTTTTTAATGGCACTTAGTATGATTTCTGATTAATAGTCAAAATATTTTAAAGAAAATATTAACTGTTTTAAGAAAAGCTTTGAGCATGGATTTATTGTTAAGGAACTAAATACATGATTCGAGTTTAACTATATTTACGAACAAAAAACGAGTCGAGTTTTGAATTTACATTTGTGTTTTATTTCTTATTTTGTACTGGAACTGTTTTTATTGAAACTGACAAATTTCGAATCTCAATTTATTCTTTTATAGCGATGGAGTTCATCTATCTGAAACAAGTTTCAAACGTTTACTGTTAGATAGAGAGTATGATCCCTTGGAGAGGCCACAGATTTCAAATGGTAATGTACTTTTATCTCAATTATAATGTTTAACGCGCAATTACATTTAAAAAAATTAAACTAATTAGCACATTTGTATATTAACTCGTATATAAGAGAAGAGGCCCATTTAATTCAATATTTTAAAAGCTCGTGTGAAATTTCCTAATAATAAAATTGTATTTTGCATTAATTGTATAATTATAATTTGTATTTTGATTTGTAAAAGTACATACTACAAAATGATGTAAAAAATTGTATAGCTTACGATTCAAATGTTTTTTTTTTGTTGTTGCTGTTATTGAATAAAATAATAAAAATGTAATATATATTTACTGAATTTTATTTTCACTTAAAATTATCTTTGAATAAATAGGTTTTATAACTCAGTGTAAAACATTTTCAATTCGCTTACAAATTTCACGAGATATGGTGAAAAACGCCATAATAAAACTAACATTAAGGGATTCAAACTTTGTATCTCTTGACCGAATGATTTCACAGATTGCGGCTTCCTCTTACATTTTTGAGGTTAAAAATCCGAATCCTTGGGAAAAAAATATTTGCTTGTTCAGAGATTGTAGTTTTTTGTGACTGATTTGTTAACTTAAAATGTCGTTTGCACTAATTAATTTGAATATTTGAAGTCACCTTCTCTAACCATTGACTTTGTGTCTAGAACGCGAAAATCAGATCATTTGATCAAAAGTTATTCAAGCTGATTTTTATTTTTTGAACACTGTACATACAGAATTATATATTAAATAAGCAGAATAAAATTTTTTTAAGGCTAATGCATACTTATGTGTAGTTTGTGTGTGGAAATCAAATAAATATGATCAAGGTTGTATTTAAAGAGTAGTTTATGGAGAATATAAAGAGTGAAGTGTTATAAACCTAAGGGAGTCAACTCCGAACTTAAATTCCTATTTATTTTGCCCAGAAAAACTGTTTTTCTAGATGATATTGATAATCTATGCATATGTATTTAAGTATACATATGCATAGATTATCAATATCATCAGATAGGGAAATTTTCTTACACATTTGTCCAAGTATTCAACTTCGAAATTATTGAAAAAACATTTTTCTTTACGAGTCAAGAAGGGAATTTTTAATAATTCATTAAATCACTTCTTAATTTTTCAACATTAATTAAATTAAAAGATTAGTTGCTTCTCATACGTTTTATACTTCCATTTTTATTAGGTAATCTCCTAATACTCCTAAGCATTACGATTCTTACAGCAACCTAAAGCTTTTGATTGCATAAACAGAGATGTATTTTTCATTGCCTGTACTAGTTTATACAGCTAATAAATATTTAATAAATGCATGTGCGAATTTATGACGATGAGTTGTGGGGGTTTGGGTAATTTCATTTAGGAAGAAAGCGACAGAAAATCAATATTTCTCTGTGTCCACGCTTTTGTAAATCCGAAGAAGACAAGCTTTTAATCTTATTAAAAATCTTTCTAATGATTTAATCACAATTTTACGTAGTTTCACAATGTTATTAAATTTTAAGTTTATTTTGAGAAACAGTTTTACTAATAATCTTGTTTATTCCATGACTTATTTTTATAAAAAGGAAGGAAAATAAAGTTAGAAAAATTATTTATAAAAATTCATTAATACATTTTAACTACCTTTTAATTTGTTTACTACAGTTTTTTATTTCCTTGAATCATGTTTAAGCAATATCAATTTTAAATGTTTTTAAAAATGAAAAAATTAATACATGGTTTATTTCCAAGTATGAGTAGAATGCTAGAAATTTTTTATATTGACAATGGAAAAGCTTTATAAGAATTTCATGCTTCGATTAATAAGTATTTTGCTTTTTCATAAAAAATTTTTTAGTGTAGAAAGATTAAATACATTGAAAAATTTTGAAATAATAAAATATATGGCAATAATAGCAATATTAAGTAAGATTTCTTGTTCTAAAAAATGGTTATTCTTTTTTTGGTCTAACACTGTAGAATATTTTCGTAAATATTTTACCTGTTAAAATTATTAAGAATTTCGTTAAATTAAGATACAAAGAAACATAGACATGAACTCCGGTACACAGCTCTGCACCTATGCTCCCGAAGAAGGCTTCTATCAGGAAAAAACTGTGGTCCGGAAAACGGACGCATACAACGGCAACACACAACACTTCCCCCGATCAGTCCCCTACCACCACGGGCCTACCCTACCAACCGCAACATCGCCACCAGAACTAGGCCCAACGTCTGGTCTCATATCCCCCCAGGATCCCTAATTATTGTTTATTTACTACTTTAAAATTACTTAAGGAAGCAGATAATTTCAGTAACTATTGTGTAACTATTATATTGTGTAACTATTATAGAACATTGACAATTGACAGCGACTAAACCGAAGAACCGTGGTTTAACGTTACATATCTTGAAAACATATCTGAATAAACAAACGCATTACATGAGATAATAAATGAAAAAAGCTAATATGATACAAGAAAATTTATGGGAAGTAGGAAAAATGACACACATGGGAAATTTACATTTGGAACACAACTTGCATTTGAGGAATTTTAAGTATATCAAATTTTTAGTATCTACATATAATTTTAGTATTAATACATACGATTTTCAATAACTGTTGTCAATAATGACTCCATCTGAAATTTATATTGATTATGCATATGCACATAAGTTTGATGTTAAATGATGGTAGACTATAATCAGGATATGCTATTTTGTTTATATAGATGCATTCAAGTAAATATGGTTTGCTGGTAGATATATACGTATAAGATTATTAAGGTATTACATACATACATTTTTTAAAAACTTGATATAATTAAATGATACAAATGGTAATGAGTTCTTTAACAGCATGATTCGAAACTATGCTTGGACTTATAAGTATAATCATTGCAAAATTTAAGGTATAGAAACATTCTCTTCGTATTTTCAAAGTATAAAAAGTAATTTTTTTTTAAGAAAAAGAACATTTATCCAATTACTTTTATAGGCTAAAACTCTTATTCATTCAGCAGTTCAGACAGTCTATTCCACTGAAAATGCGAATGAAGTACTTAAATTACCCAAATGCATCGAAGATACCAAAACATCGAAGCTGGTTTACTTACTTTTTCATAAACAAAAACTCATAACTCATTTTAATTTATAAGACAGAACTAAAATATTTAGATTAAAGATAAAACTGCTATTTCTATTCATCCACAAAGAAGAAGGTTAGAAGGGGAAATATTTAGTTAGCATATTACTTAAAACTAATTAAGATGTTGAAGATTTAGAATGTTTCAATATAATTGTGCTGTGTATTTGGGTTAGTTACCATTGAAGTTTATCTCTTCCACTATATAGATGTTTAAAGGTGACCAAGCTGGTAGCCAAAGGAGGCAAATAAAAATCATAATTTTTTGAACTAATTTCTTCATAATCATTCATTAAAAAAATATTAAGACGTAAAATGTTATACTTTTTCAAGAAAAAAACATTAAAAATTATACATTTTTTACCACTCTTAAATGGTCTCAATTCCTTTATTCACATTAGTTTTAGTTTCGCTAGATTTCAACGATGTCTATTATTTAATTTTATCTTTATAGAAATACGTTTTTTTCCAGGAACAGCTGTAGCAATGAAAGTTCAAGTGGAAATAGGCTATATGGGAGATATCGATACAAAGAAGATGGTAAATTTATTATTGCATATTTAATTAGCACTCAATATTTGTTGTCTTTAAAATAATTTAACTTTCTCGTTTATTTTTTTATGTGTTTTTTTTAACATTTGGTTAATAATTTTCTTATAATGTCAAGATGAGTTTGTATTATTTTAACGAAAAAACATTTAAAGACAACACTTTTTGCAACTGATTTATTTCATTAGTTTAAGAGAAAAACATTAAAAGCTCTAAGAAAATTAAAAGTTTCAGTTAAAAATGAATTACTTTGATAGAATTTCAAAGTAATGGATACACATCGAAATTTAGCAATTTTGACTGTTTAAAAACTTGCAAAACATTTGTTTGAAAACTTGGCAAAACATTTGTTTGGAAACTTGACAAAAAATAAAAAGCACATAGAATAATTATCAGTATAAAAATATTTATTTTGATATTCTGTACGAAATAAGTTATGTTGCAGATTAATTTGATTTTGAGGTATAAAAACTCATCCTTCTATTTTTGGGCCTTATATACGAAAATATATTTGCTTTCCTATTTCTATAATATCTATTTGATCTCTAAAACTAACTGAAATCAACTCTTACTAAAATTAAGACTGAAAAAAAGACAGAGATAGCAAAAATAATGACCAATTTTAGTTACAGCCTCTTAGTTAAAACTGTATAAGGAATATGTTAGGAGTGAAGTTCAAAATTTAAAATAATTTAATATTTTATTCTTGGTAGTAAAATTTTTCTTTACTAGACAGCTATGTTGTTAAAGTCAGATGTTTTGTGTGCAGCTGCCCGCTTTTTGCCTGCTGTTATTAAAATAAATTTTAAAAAAGAATTTTTTTTTAAATTTCTTATGTCAGATACATACTAGAGGGCGAACTAAACTATTTTTTCAAAAATCTATTAGATATTTTTTAAGTGACAGATTAAGAATGAAGGTGCTTGAAGTTTCATTCGCCAATCAAGTTGAACTTTTCAAACAAATTGTTCGTTTTTTTTTAACAGTTTGAAAGATTTTTTCGGTTAAAAATTCAAAACATAAATATTATTTTGTTCATTTTCAAAGAAGATTTAACATGAACTGCAATTTTCCTTTTAAATACGTAATTTGGATAATAGAAGATGACATACATAGTTTTAAATGCAATTAATGATTGTTTTAATTCTCTTTTAATTTTCTTTATTATTCAATTACTTTATACTTCTTAGTAAGTATGGAATAATAATGGAAATCTAATTAATTAAAATCTATAGCTCAGATATTTTCTAAACTTTTAAAGTTACCAATATTTTAGGTAAATTTCTATTAAACACGTTTAAATTAACGTGTACATCTTATAAGTTATTAATACATTTGCGAGAATAATAAAAAGAGATTTTTCAAAGAGAATAATAAAACAATTTGGTTCTCGTAATTTTAAATATTTTTATTAGATATTAGTGAAAAATTTGGTAGAAACCAAGTTTCTTCGTTTAAAAGTTTTAGTGAGAAAAAGATAGTATAATTCTTGTTTTCAAAATTTATCACACTGTTAGAATTTTCATTCTAAAATACAATAAAATAACCAGAAGCAGTCGGTTAATCCAATTAACCGTAAAGTTTACATCAAGGAACATTTTTTCCCTTACGAATTTAAGACCGTCTAACACTAGTATGGTTATAAAAATATGATTACAAAATTATACAGGCTTTTTTTCACCCTTTACAACTGACAAGGTTTCAAAACCGTAAAAAATATGGCTTAATTAGTTTATCTGGTTGTTTCACTTATTGTAAATTGTGGGAAATACTAGGCTTTTTTGTGGTGTTAGCAGCGTTATGGTGCTGCCATCTATACGTGAATGACAGTATCGTCTTCTATTAGACCAGGGTCACAAATTGAAGAGTGCAGGAAGATGGAAACCGCTCATATGTTGAAGAGAATGGTGAAAATATTGTGAGGTCAACGTTGGGTCTTGAACTCCCATGAGATAGACAGATTAGCCTTTCGGCTGTAAGGAACTTAGTGACTTCGTTAGGTGAACCTAGTTGGTGCTATAAGATTCTGATTGGTTAACCGTATTAGGTTTAAGCTGTTAATAAACGGTTTTTCTCATAGTTAAAAGTTTGAATACAATCTTATTTATGGTTATTTGACTGTTTTGTTTGAATATGGTAAAATAACAATTAAATAAATTGTTATTTAACTATNCTATACGTGAATGACAGTATCGTCTTCTATTAGACCAGGGTCACAAATTGGGGAGTGCAGGACGCTGGAAACTATTCATACTGTTTGTCTAAGATAGGTACTCTGCCAGACATTCATCTGGAGCTATGGCGGTGACTATGTTAACGAGGTATGATTATTTCAAGTAGGGATGCGATGTCCCTCTTTAGGACTGGTTTCGGCGAGAGAAAAGGAGACTTCTTCATCGAAGCTTACCTCCCTAAAATATCCTTTTCTTTTTTCCATAGCATTAGACTGTCGCAGACTTAGTGGCGGTCAGAGTACCTATCTTAGAAACAGTATGTTGAAGGGAATGGCGAAAATATTGTGAAGTCAGCGTTGGGTCTTGAACTCCCATTCTGTTTATCATGAGATAAACAGATTATCCTTCTCGGCTGTAATATCTACCAGGCTGCAAGGAACTAAGTGACCTCCTTAGGTGGACCTAGTTGGTGCGATAAAATTCTGGTTGGTTTACTGCGTTAGGTTTAAGCGGTTAATAAACGATTTTTCTCATAGTTAGCAGTTTGAATACAATCTTATTTATGGTTATTTGACTGTTTTGTTTGAATATGGTAAAATAACAATTAAATAAATTGTTATTTATCTATTTTTTTTCAGAGAGATTTTTACCAGAGTAGCATTCATGCAATAAAAATTATAATAAAATCTGATGCATTAATTCGTAATGAGGTAGAAAAAAAAATGAAATGGAAAAGAGGCAAAACAAAAAGAAATTTTTTTTTTTTTTGAAACCAAATTTAATTAAATTAAATTGAAGAAAAAATTGTGATCGCCGAAAGACGATCACAGGTTACCCATTGGCAAAATGAACAAAATAACAAAAATATCGTTCAAATGATGAAATTCTCTTTTATTTACAACTCAAGAAGTATTTATGGGATCTCTTTGGTCCCACATCTCAAAAATAAACTCACCAACTTAATGTATAACAAAATCAAAAGTGAAAAAAAGAATTCTAAAAAAAATACCAAACAGCAGCTGTTGCCATTGCAACACATGCAATGACGACGCATGCGCACTGTTTACCATTATTCTTGAACACAGTTGAAACGTTCAAACAACAATGAGGTGTGATGACTTACAAATAAGGTGCGCAAGTCATTAAACCCAAAACAATGCTCATTTTACCAATGGGTAAAAAGCAATTAAACGAAACTTTCCAGGCTTCCTCAACGTCGTTTCGTCGATCAACTGATTCTGATGTCTGTAATGTCAATTTCTTCAACAGTGATTCGTCAAGTTATGATTATATTTTTCGTTTTCTTGCTTTTAGAATGATTTGTGGCCCCTAATATTTGTACTTCTACTCCAGTTTCAAAAAGGATCCTAAAAATATACATTAAAGACTGTAAATACGAAACATCATTGCATGAATTATAGAGAAATTTGCGATCAAAGTTGTCAGCTACTTCGTACAAGAAATGGCACTAAATTAGTTTTGTGACGCACAAAAGCACTATTTTTTCGTCAAATCAACTTACCAAGTACTTTAACCCTTTGACGCAAAATTTTTATGTAACATATTTTCATACTTTTTTCCATTGTTTTGTTTTAATTTAGGTAAAAATAACTGAAAAATATCATATTTAGCATTTTAATAATTTGTAGTTATGAAATACAGCAGGTAATACCGGTGGCGCTTTCTGTGTTAAAGGTAAAATCTTCCAAACACGTATTCTATAGAAAATTTTTTCAAATTTTCACTTATTTGCAGTTGTTTAGATCTAGGAGAAACAGTTATTCATCTGGGAAATTTCTTTTAATTTGCAAAAACAAATAATTTTTGAATATGAAAGAAAATGTTTTTTTCTTTCTAACTGCTGGATTTATATTTTATTACAAATATAATTCCGACAATCTAACAGATCATTTCTAGTAACAATTAGACTTTTTTATAGTTAAAATTTACCAAAATATATTTTTGCTCATTGTTAAAGTGTCAGGAAAGAAATACATATTTAAAAGAGATACCGGTGTTCCATCTCTACCAAAGGGATAGCCAACTCATTCGGGAAAAGAATATACTCATATATTAAAACCAACTGCACTGAAAAACTTGGCGGGCGATAGTTCAGTGATAGTTTTAAATTGCTATTCTGTTCTTTTGAATTTTTAGACGTTTGAGATTCACGCAACGTTTCGTCAATGGTGGTATGACGAGAGACTAGTATTCGATTCCTCCATTGGTTCCAAGGTGGTTGGCTTGAAAAGTCTCAGGGATCTGATTTGGACGCCAACTTTATTCTTCATTAACGAAAAAGACAGCAAACTTGTAGTGAGTACGCGCGACAACATCTACATCCAAATAGATCCAGATGGTAATGTTTACTATGCTCTCAGGTATATTTTTTATTTCTTACGTAGGTCGTGAATAAAAATCAATGCAGACATACTGAATTTTTTTATTTTTTATTTTTAGATTACAGTTGGTTCTTTCATGCCCCATGAATCTGAAACATTATCCCTTTGATAAGCAATCATGCAGAATTCGAGTAAGCAGCTGTAAGTAAGCTAATATTTCCATTAACAAAACTTTGCTAGCAAATGGTGAGATTAAAACAAATTGCTCTGATTAACGAAATATGTATATAAAAATAAATAAATAAATAAAAACTTTAATGGACCGATAGATATTGATTAAAAGAATGATGGGGATATCTACCTTCAAGATATATTAATTAATTAATATAATAATAAATTTTGCTGATTCAGCTGTGTTGTACTCGTTATTATCTATTTTATTTAACTACAGCAAAAATATAATATAGGATAACCAGTATTAATATATATTTAAACGTATGCGATACTTAAAACAGTAAAGCTACCAACTCTTTATTTTTATTTTTTTTGTCGCTGAAAAAATTATTTTTAGAAAATGATTTGAATATCTCTTTGAAGCATGGATGGTTTAACAATTTACTTTGTACAATTTTGTAAATAAGGAAGGAAAAAAAAAAAAAAAAAAAGTATCATGAAATTTTAAAATTTTTTAGTCTTACAAATTTAAAACAAAGTAAATTTCAATATTATTAGTTTTATGCTAATAGGTAATTTTTAATTAAATAATTTGATTGAAGATAAAATTAATAATTATACATTAACCGACTGAGCGTTTTGCTTATCTGCTATTTTGTATAGAAACTTCCTCTCAATACACAGCTTTCTCCTAGAATACGAAAACAGATGCTCGGTTTTGTGGCAGGAAAATTGCAGATGGCAAAACCTCTTAAATGTCGCAATCGTTCTGTCGGAACGAAATAATTATTCCAAAACTTTATCAATTTTTTTTTTATCATTTTAAAACTTATTTTCGGATGCTATTATGTTTTCAAAGCGAAAACATTTAATTATGTCCCTAACAGATGGCAGCACTAAGTATTTTCTGATTTTTAAGACAGCATAAAAGTTCACAGTGAGATACGACTCGGCACTTTATTTAGGAAATGAACGTCCTAACGTATGTTTTTATTGCGCATTTTATCTATTTGTTCTTTTTTTTTTAAATAATTTCATACAGAAATTTTGTTTTGTTTTGTTTCAGGGTTAAGTAAGTAATATCAGTTAAAGAAATAAAAATTCGTCTATACAAACAAGACAAGCATAAACTAAAAATTATAACTCTATCCCAATTCAATTTTTTAAAAATAATAATGCCATAATATTGGTAAAACATTTATTAAAGTAATTAAAAATTTCTTCAAATATTATGTAAGATAAAATGCTACTATTCTTTAATTTAAATTCTAGAATTAGCTCAGAAATAATATGATAAAGAAAATAGCACCCTATAAGTAGAAAATGTTAACTATTAATTGGTACAATCAAAATTATTATTAAAAAAAATTAATAGATATTTAGAAGCGCGGAAAAAAATTACTCAAGAAAAGTTAATTCCTAAGGTTTTGATTTAACTCTCATTTATGTGTAAGTAAAATATTCGTCATATGTTGACATAAAATGTGCGTCAATTGCAGGCATAAATTTACGTAAAATTTCATTTTTCTCTGGAACTTTCAAAGTGTATTGAATTTTTTAAATTAATTTATAATGTGTTTATGAAAAAAAACTTCAATAACTGCCACTCACAGATCCTGTTTTTATTTTATTTATTTATTTATTTTTTTGGTACATAGTGTATCAAAATTTTAGAAACGATCAAAGATCTCGAAAAATTCGCATTGAGTTAAATATCTAAAATTTCACCCGTTTAATAGTTTTAAAGGAAGCATTCAATGATGTTAGACTCAATTCCCCTCTGGGATTTGAAGGGGGGGGGGACTTTAGAATCTTTACTAATAAAGTCTATTTTTTTAATCGCAGATTTGGATCCTCGAAAAATTATATCTCAAGTTAAAACACAGACTTTTGCACTTTGGTTTAAGAATGACGCTTTAATCTCAGAGGCAGTGGTAGCGGTTAAGACAGGATAATTGACAAATGCATTTTTATATTTAGAGGAGCATATTTTGGGTTTAGATTATTTTTTTCAAAAACTAGACCGTTTTCACACTTTATCCATACCAAGTATAACAACAGGCAAACAACAGTGCTGAATAAGCTTAGGTGGAGAAAAAACGAATCGATGGTTATAACAGTATCTTAGTCGATTATTTTAATATCTTTATTTTGAATGCATAATTTACATTCTAAGTAAAAATTAATAGTCATTTCGTCAATGTTACCAGAAAGAATCCATTTTGCGAAAGGGTGTATTAACCAATAAAACTGTTTTTTTAAGGTCAGCAATAATATTTTTAAAATTTGTGAAATTTATTTATTCACCAACTTTTAAAATATTATTGCTGACTTAATGGACTTAATACTTAATTGATTACTGACTTAAAACCAAACGATTTTAAATTGTTTGGATTCGAAGATTAAATCTTGGACAGAATAGTAAGACAGTCAAATTATAAAATTAATAACTAGAAAAATTATTTGAGTAATCACTTTTTAATAAGAATAATAATAAAAACAAATGTCTTCCGCAAAAGTCTGCTGTTAGAAAGGAAGGTCATGGAGGTTAAGTGCTTGAGAATTTCTAGATTAACGACATGCTGTGGCAATGTCGGCAGTGTGGATAGAATTACGTATCGTCCCGTTTCACTAACTAGAGATGCTGGACATTTATCAGAAGTTATAGACATAAATATACTGTATATGTAACTCATGGGTCGCGTAAAAATTTCAATTAGAATAAACTTGCTTGCAATTGAAAACATTGTTTCATAATTTTTCCAGTCAAAAGTGCCATCTGTTGACAAACTTTATGACTAACTTTGTTATTCGCTCCCTTAATAATTAAATAGTTTCTTAAGCAGAACGCTGTAAACCACACAATTTAATCTCTGTCACTTTTTCTTTAATTAAATTAAAAATTTTCAGTCATTTTTAAGGATATTATAATAGTTTATTCTTTTTCAAAATACAACACGTGAATAGAATTTAAACGAATTCTATTTCGCTCGAGTTCTTTTAAATGAGAATTCAAAATGACAAAGCTAAATTTACTTTTAAGCATTACTCATAACCTTTAAAAACATGATGTCTGTTGCAATCTTCGCGTGATCGAAGGATTAAGTAACACTGAATGTCGGAAAATTGTTTGTTATAATTATTTACATGTTCCATCGCTCTCGGTAATATGAAGGGTTTATATATAGGGTCTTATGATATGAATGCTCTGGTGCTTTACTGGCACGATGAGTGCGTGACATTCTTGGAGAGCGTGGAGCTTCCGGAGCATTTCCTGGACAAAGACGATGTCACTTGCACAGCTTTCAATCGATCTTATGAAACCTCAGGTAAAACAACTGAGAATATATTATGAATCAGGATTATATTTCTAATTATTTACATGAGAGAGTGTTTGTGAACTATTTTAAGGTACTTTCTTAGAACCAAGCTGAAAAGATATTTTAAATGTGAGAAATGATTAGAATCACACTTTTTAAGCGTTTTCGCATCACTAGATATTTTTTAATTTTATCATGGACGTTCATGCATGCAAAATTTGTTTTGATTTAAAGGAGGTAGAAAACAGATAGAAAGTTCGAAAAATAAACGAATAAGGGCAAATAACCAGAAGATATTTGTATCAAGAGGAGATCAGTTTCATATTAAACTAACATTTAGTTGATTTAATATTAATTCTAATGTTTTGATATACATAAGTAGACGTTTTTGTAGATTACATAATTTACATACAGGGCGACAAGAAATAATTTGGTTAAAGTTTAAGTCAAATTTATTTATTGCAACATACAGCTAGCTTATTTTGAAAGATGTTATGCTGCTTTGGTCACTGTAGTTCTTTGAAATTAAGAATTCTCCGAACAAAATCCCGCTTCGGTAAACTTATATAAAATCACTAAAACATGTTACAAAGAACATCGGTTCTCGTTTTAGCAGCACAATAACGGCCACCTAATTCACAAGATTTGAATCTAATGAATTTTATTCTTCTGGCACGTCTTTCGCGAAAATGGAACAAAACATCAGTACCTGAGCTGCTGCCAAAAAGAAAGTTATATTAATAAATAAATGAAATTTTGTGACACGTTTATATCTCAGAACTAAGTTAAAAGATTGCCACATTGAAAGTTTGAAAATATGTTGCATTTAGTGATGATTTCATATTTATTTGATTTTGCTTCAAAATTTAAATAAGTATCAAAATCTTAGTTTTATATGTGCTTAAAGTATTTCATTCCATCCTCAATAATTCAAAAATTTCTTAAATTCTTTTTTCACGCCTTAATGAATAGCGTCATTAAAATGGTTTAATGTTTGTCCTCTTTAATTTATACTAAACTTGTATTGTTGATATTTTTTTCCTTTAGTTAACCAATAGTGTTTTCTTTAGTAAATTAATTAAAAAGTGTATGAAAAATTTGAAAAGCTTTAATATTTATAATAATTTATTTTGATTACTAATGGCGATATTTATAAATTATAGTCTTGTTTTCATTGTAATTTGTTAAAACACTGAATAGGTAGGAAATCCTAAGCTTTATAATTTGTACTAAAATGGTTGTGTTATTTATTCAATAACGCATACCATATATTTTTTTCCTAAAATGTAAATTATTTTTGCTAAATACATTATAACAGGACTTCCATACAAACTTAAAAACTAATGTTGCAATTTAGGTTGTTTTTACTTAAATAATAACAAAAACCTAGATGGTACTTACTGAGATTTAAAAATTGACACCTAACATATTATTTTAATCTTATATTACGTAAAATATTGGAAAAAAATATGCTATAAGTTTAACACTAGAACAGCCGGATTTTGGATTTATCTAAAACAACCATTTAGAGTAAATTTGATCCTCATAAGAAATTGATGTTATTTAAAAGTAAATGATTTTTTAAGTAATGAATATTCTTTAAAAAAAACAATGTGTAAGAGTTTTTAAGAGATAAATTGTTTTTCCTTTTCTTTACCTTTCTGGTATTCGTTTTGTTCTCTACCTTGCGATGTTAAAAGGCAGGTTTCTCATATTTAAGAGACTAAATTTTGACAATTGGAGGCTATCTGGTGCGCAAAGCAGCTCCATATAATTAAGGTTTTTAATCTGCAATTTATATTGTGGCAAAAGACAGTTATCCCGCTGCGCCTACAGCTTAGGAGTGCTCCATAAGTAGAGCATTATACTTTCCTCAGGTTGTATAGGTCAGGTATTCATTTGCCCGTTTTTCAACTCGCACAAATAAAGATGGCCATTAAAAAAAGATTTTTTTTGATTTTATATCAGTTGAAATCAAAATCATATGGTTTGAACGTCATACAATGTTGTTGACGTATGCCTGTTTAGGCAGAGGGGGTGCGATTGTTCTTGTTTTACAGTGGCGCCATCTATGGCTAAGAATTGAAATTTCCTTATTACCTTCATGAAAATAATTATTCTCCAACAATACTTTCATGTCCAGGATTATGACAAACATAACTGTTTAAAATCATGTACATGGTTTCTTTTAGTCGCAATAACGAAATTATAATTCAATAGTAACTCAACAAAGCTACTTCGGTAATCGAATCTATGATGCCATATAAATTTACGAAAATTGAGGGACTTTCTTTTTAACACAGTTAACCCTAATTTTGGTTTTGCGATTCTTTTTCATAATGTTTGCTGTTCTGCAAAATCAAAAACAGACATAAAACTTTAAAGATAAGCGTTTTTATTATGAGGGTCAAAGTGACCTCTTTCGCACGCTTGTTTTAGGTATTTCCTTAATTATTTAATTTACTTATCAAGAGAAAAGCTTGAAATTTTGATATATTATACTTAGAAACAATTTAAGAAAAGTAAAAATAAAGATCTATGAAGCTCACGTGTATCTTCAAAAATAGCATAAGAAATGGCGAAAAACAATCAAAATGACTCCAACGGCTCTTCTAGAGTTTAAAAAAATTTAAAAATGTTAACTTTAGTGCACATACAATAAACCTTAAGAAAATTTAGTAAATTTCCAAGATTTGGTCGTTAATTTATACGACATGCTCCCTCTCAAAACATTTAGTTGCTTGTAATTATAACGAACTTCAGCAAAATTAATAGAGCTGACCATTAATTTATACTTTTATTATATGAAGCTTCCTAACTCAATTCTGGGCTGTACATCCTTTTCCATGGTAGTTACAGCCTCAGGATACGGGCACAAATGGTCTGAGTTTCCTTCTCCGGCGCCAAAGAATGTCTCACCAGCACTCCCTGTACTGCATTGCTGACCTCGTTCTCTCACTGCTTGACAGTTCGTTGCATTACACTATTTTGCCTTCTTTCCGCTATTTGCTTTGATTCAATAAATAGATCGCCTGAGTCTGAATTACCGAAGTCAAGTCCCTATTTTAGGATAGCTTTTATGAGTATAACGTTAAGTTAAGTGAGTATCCCTGTGTGCTGTCAGCAAGGTTAAACAAAGATTTTACGGGAACTAGGACAAACTTTATTGCGGGTCCCTTCCCCGAAGTAACGAAAGCGTCATTTTGATATTTTGCGAAATTTCTACAGACCAAAATTGTTGTTTTTATTTAGATATAAAGAAATTATCTTCTATTTTTTTAAAAAAAAATAATAATCTATAAACACTATAGTTTTTTAAAACTGATTTTCATTATGCCCTCAGCAGTTCGCGGACGGTAAAATTTGCTCCCCATCCTTTCAGTACGTTTTTGATGGTCAGTACGAGAAAATATTTCGGGCACACCTGCATTTTTATAGCCATGATTCATTTACGGGCATAAATTTATTATTACTGTCAGTGACTGGTTTACTTTTTGCCGGTCAATGATCGTAATCTAGCTGTAAAATATGTTTAAACATTGTATCCAGTTAAGTCAGAAACTACTCATTTAAGGGGCTATTTAAAGCTTTATAAATCTAAATCAGCTAAAATTTAGAAATGTATAGTTAAAAAAAAATACTTTTTAAAAATGGGCCACAATATCAAACTTAAAATTTATGCTAGCAATTTAGAAGCGCTTTAAACATGTTGACTGTTATTTCATATTTGTTTATTTCTGAAGAAAATTAAATTTTCAATCAGGTATTATCTTACAGCTTCTGTTTTATAAACAACTTATTTAATAAGTGTACTGTTTAAATTAATTCATTGCGAGCATTTTTTAAATTTTTGTTTAAAGTAAAGGAAAAAAAAGTGTCTCAAATGTATGAAATTTTTATTGATTAACTGTTTTGTAAAAAATTCACCGTTAATTTTTTTAAAAGTGAGAAATACGTATTAACATTTAAGTTTAAGGTAGCTTCTTTTGTGCTGAAATGTATAGTTTTGAAGAACATTAGGAAAATATTCTAAACATTATAAAATGCTTTGAATGAGGTTAAAATAAACACAATGCTATTTTACAATTGTATTTGAGTTATGTTAAGAAGTAAAAGACGTAATTTTTGTTGAACTTTACCATTTGAAGTTTAGTGGTGATTCTTGTTACATCGCATTTCAAAATTTCAGGAGACTTTAGTGGTCTGGTAGCTCACTTGCGATTTCGGAGAGAGATTCCCTACTACCTAATGGAAGTATATCTGCCAATTAGTTTGCTTGTCATCGGATCTTGGCTGTCATTTTGGTTAGATGTCTACGCTGTTCCTGCTCGTACTGCTCTTGGGATAACAACTATTCTCACAATTATTACAAGCTCCAGAGGCATCAAAGAATCCATTCCAAGGGTAAACTTTCATCATTTTAGGCAGAATGATGTTCACCTGTTGTAATATTAATCAATTCTATATCTGTATGATTCGAAAAGAATATTTTAACAAATAACTCCTGGGTACAATTTTTTTTTTTTGGTTTTCAGTTGCTTGAGATACTTTTTAAACAAATCTTTACACGTTTTCTCTTCTGATTTCAAATCTTAGTCTTTTTGTTGAAATGTACAATTTCAAAAACGTTATTGATAACCGGGAGTCGTATCAATGGCCCGACAAACTTTTAGGGCAGTTAGGACGTATGATCAGGATAAAAATTGCATATGAAATATCGTTATATATGNACAGTAAAGAAGTCCATATGTTTAAATAGTCTTTTCTTTGTCTTATGAAATTTTTTGAGATTTTTTAATAAAATATTTCTTTACTTTATGATATTTTAGAAAAATTACTTCAATTGTTCACATGTGCCCCGATCGGGGGCACATGTGAACATGCCTGGGGCACATATGAACAAGATTAAAAACACAAAGCAATCATCACATTTCAAACAAAAAAATCTTTAATATAACAGATATAAATACGCATTATACTGAAGGGGTTGTAGCTAACTATGTGAATTTAAATTGTACAACAGTACTGTCAGTAAGAAAAAATTTTTTCAGCTGTACAATAATTTTTCCGCTGTTGGGTTTTTAGCAACTTCATGTTCTTCAGGAGTTGTAATGGGCCTTTTTTTTCTTCTCTAATACTCTTTCATGGTTTTTTTTTCATTTTTTTCTATCTTTTCATTTGTAGCTTTAGCAATTCCATCTTTCACAGGTGTATGAGTTAATATGCGTGATGCGCGATCAACCATTTAATAAAAAAAAATTTCTAAGGAATAAATTTATAAATTAATTATGGAAAATTAAATAATAATAATTTTAATTGCATACATATTTTTTAAACTTATAATATCATGAGGATAATAACCTTAATACTATGTAGGGGCACATGTGAACTGTTCACAACTGCCCCAGATGTGTTGTTCACAAGTGCCCCATCTTCCTTCTTAAACCTAACTTAAAAATTAAAGAATTTTTAATTGAGTAAAAAAAAAGAATAATTGTCATAAACTTACCTAAATGCTCATACAATGGTCTGCAATAGTTAATTTTAGCTTATTAGTTGATTTATACTATCCTTTCACTTGAAGAAGTGAGTGATTATAATATATACAACACCAGCTGATACAAAGAAATTGTCAGAATAGGACAACAAAATGTCTTATTGTTCTGAAAGTTTTGGAAAGAGTTAGGACTAGTACTGCCATCAATTGAAAATTTTTCAAGATTTTTTATTTCAAATCATATTGGTAAAACATACCATGTTCACATGTGCCCCCTGTTCACATGTGCCCCCCTCTCCCCTATGTGCCTTATCTATGAATATCGATATATATCAGAAATATCATCATACGCCACTAGGGGCGCGTCCCCTATTATGAACGGATTCTTCGTGTGTTTCTGAACAAGTCACAATAGAGATGCACCCTAAGCAGTACACGGCTACTTTTCCGAGCACGGGTTCCAATACAATTATAATCCTGATTATGTGCCCTAACTCCCCTAGAAGTTTGTCGTCACATTTATGCGACTCTCTGTTATACATAACGGTTTTAATATTGTATATTCTGATAAAAATTAGACTGAAAATGATATTTAAAAAATCTGTAACTTTAGGGAGCGAAACTAATTTTAGATTTTCAATCCCCACTTTCGATTTAGGCAAGATCAATTATGCGAATTTTTTTTTCCAATGTGATTTATTCTAAAGCAAAATGAAGGATAATTATTAAGACATATGATTTAATTTTCGTATATTCAAATAAATATCAATGTACAAACATAAAATTCCTATCAGTTCTCGTTCTGCCTACAATTTAGTATAAAAGTTATATAATACTATGAACATAGTATGTAGATTGACAGTGTAAATATATTTTGGAAAGTTATATAAATTTTAAGCTAGTTTATTACATTCTAGTATACTTTTTTTCATATCATACTTGATTTTCATGATTCCTAGATAAATATCAAAATTTATAGTTGTATAATTTTTAGAGGTAGGGAAGCTAAATTATCCCTCTGAAAATTACGTAAGCCAGATATTTCAAACAAAAATACTTCAAGCAAGATAATTGAAACAAAAAGTTACTTACATTTATAATTTAAATTCCTTCCTGTTAACTGCTTGGAGTAACAGAGGAGTTGATGATATAAAAAGTTGACGATACTATATAAGTTACATGTTTTAGGAAGTTAACTATTTGATTCTCAACCCGCTTGCAATTATTTGATGTATTAGAGCGGCGTTTCCCAAATGGTGTTCCACGGAACCCTAGGATTTCCTTGATAAATCATAAGGGTTCCCGAGCGCTAGGATATTTTTTATTCAGTAATAAGTATATTTGTATCCAATTAAGAATCCATAATTTGTTCAATATTTCGATTGTTTAAATGAAACTATTTTTGTAAAATGCTAATAACAAAAGAAGTAACAAATTTTTTTGAAAAAATATTCTACTACTGACAATTTATTAAATAAATTATGAAAAGATTATGCATTTATTAAAATTTCCATAAGTATTGCTCATCGAACTTTTCATTTCAAAATGTAATGACTAAATTCAAGAATTAAGAGTTATGCTTCTTTGTTAACTATTTTCGACATTTACAGCTGTGAAAATCATAATTCAGCTTATTTATTTTCAGCGAATGCTTAAACCAAAAACTATTTTAGAATTTAAAATATTTCATTATTCGCATAAAATACTTACAAAGTACTTAGTACTCTTTTTTTTGGTTAATATATTCACAGCTACTATTAAACATTTTTTTTATATAAAGTATCAGAGTTCCGAAAAAAGAAGCTCGATTATTTAGATCACCATAGCCAAAATCAATTGAGAACCGCTGTATTAGAGAACTTGCAATCATAATGGACACCTTTTTAATCATTTGATTTATTAAATTTGTTTGAAGATGAAACCCTTAGCATTTTCAAAGCCATGATGAAAATACATTTTAATTTTATTGTTCAACAGGTATCTTATGTTAAAGCAGTTGATGTGTGGATAGAAACGTGCACATGGCTCGTATTCTGTGCCTTACTTGAGTTTCCATTTGTTAATTTCATTGCAAGAAAAGGAAAAGAGAACATGGCTTTAGCGATGGCAAATGCAAATCAAAACAATGGAAAACACGTTACATCTGCCAAACTATTTCAAGTATGTAAAACATATCCTTAGTTTTAAAGTAACACACAAGCATTAATTCTGCTATGACATTATTGACTATTTCAATTGTTATACCCTGAAATATATAAATTTTTAAAATTGATTCATCATTTTATACTTTATTTTTGTTATAACTTGAGAATATTTTTTTCATATTTTTACTAGTATTTTAAATTAATGTATGCATTTGTTTCAAAATATTGTTGCAGCTCTAATAAAACTGTAACAACTAGCTTTAGAGCAGATCCGGTTATACACAATGAAAAAAAAAGTATGGTGAAAACTGCCAAAATATGGTAAAATTTACCGTGTTTCTGGCTTTATGGGAAAATCAAAATTCTCGGTAATTTTTACCGAATGAGTTTGGTGAAATTAACAATAAAATATAGTTTTGTAATAAGCGATGAAATTTGGTACAATTTAGCAAGTTTATTATAGTACCTTAGAGCAGGTCATAAAAATCATTTATTCGGTTGAATTAACTTTTTTGTTTTACATTTTTTATTAAATGTGTGGCAATAAGAACTTGTGAAAACCAGAGCTTCAGATAAACTATTACTATATGAATGGAAAAATTTCTAAATGAATGTTTTAAATGTCATATATTTTGGTTTTATCATCGGAATTGCGTTGTTTTTTTTTACCAGAAATGTCATTACCTTAATGTTTGGTAATATAACGTAATATTACCAGAATTTTTTTTTGCTGTGATAAAAAATAACTCTTACAGATAATATTGCATAAACTTGTTGCTATCCGCTCTTCAAAGTAAAAACTATTAGAAATTTTTACGAAATCTGCATCGCAAATCTGTATTGCGAAATATCGTATCGCAATCTATTTTTGCTGCAACAAGAGAAGCAGTAGCTTTTATTGGTATAATATTTTAAATTACTTTTTTCGAACGAAAAAGGTAATTGCATCGTTAGTATCAAATTCAACTAAAATTTTTCTTTAAAAAGTATTTTGAAGTTTGTTAACAGGATAAGAAAAAGTTTGAATACTTCTTTTTACTTTTTATATCGGATAATTTTTTTTAATGAAAGTGTTTGATGCAAAAAAGTGAATGAGAGTTTCTTTGAAATGAACGACTTATATTCATTAGATAAAATTACAGTTAAGATATTTAAAAAGCTTAATCAATGCAGAAAAAAGAAAGATTTTAAAAAATATTCTAAGATTTTTATTAACCGAATAGTAATTTGCCAAATGGTATATGGTTTCAAGAATAATATTAAAAGATACTGTGTCACCTTCTGTGTCACTCTTAAGAATAACACTGTGTCATCTTCTTGCTTCTCTCAACAACTCTCACAGTTGTTACAATTTATATTTTTCACTTGAATCTAAAATTGTCACTTTTAAAATTATTCAAATTAAAAATCCCACAATATTTTATTGTGTGAACACATACTGAGTCTTAGAGATTTTGACTCGATTCTATAGAGATAAAATTTTTAAACTTGATCTTTTTTCTAGATTACCATTGCAAAATCATTTTTATGTTTTTTTGGACATATNATATATATATATATATATATAATGTTATAAATGCTGTGTTTTGAAATATACAACCAGTTTGCCAATGTTTTATAGCATTTTTTAGAATATTTTTTCTCACAATACTTTGGTAGTTGGGATACTTTATCTTATTTATTATCAAAACCACCTCAATGAATAGTTCAGAAGAATATAATAATTAAATAGGCATGATATCTCAAACTAAAAATTGCACTTAATATTTCAATCAAGATGGCGTCGTATTTAAGAAGAAATTTACAATTTAAACGTATTTCGTAAGTTTTGGGCAATTGGCATTGCTGGTGTAACAATTTATTTTATATCTTTAAAGTGAACTTTAGTTTTTCAAATTTTTGGCTAAATTTTCTCAACTTCGAGTGCATTATTTGTAAATCTTGACTTCTAATTTCAATTACCAAAGCAAACTTTAGCTCCAAAAGTCAAAGATTGTTTTCAACATTTATGCTGAAATTACATAACCATACTTTAAAAAACAAATATTTGAAATTAACAAAATTTTATACACTTTTGCCGCATATGAAAAATTTCACTGACCAAAAATGTAACTTTTTTCAAAATTCAATTCCTTAGGAATTATTTGACCAATTTCACTAAAATCCAGTATTTTGCCTTGTAAAATAATATTCTTTAAGATAATGCAAAAATTTTTATCACGTTTTTTTCAACTATTCTTAAATAAAATAATAAATATTTATTAAAAGTTATTTTTTGCATGGAATTATCTTTGGATAAACGAATTTTATAATAGAGTGTGAAATATTTTCAATTCACTTAAAAATTTCTCAAGATATGACGAAATACGCAAAAATTGAAATTAATATTAAAGGGTCCAAACGTTGGAGAGCTCTCCTGACCAAACTATTGAGACCATATGTCCCAGATTTTGGGAGTCAGATATCAAAATCAGTCCAAAAAGGTACATTTATTCTGTGAAAGGGCATTTTTGTGTCTGATTTCGTAACTTAAACTATCACCTGCGCTTATTAATTAACTTATATGAGTTCACTCCCTCAAGCCATTAAGATTGAGTCATAGAAAGTGAAAATCCAATCATTAGATCAAAAGTAATCCAGGGTGGATAGTGTTTTTTTCACTGTTAAAGGTGAATATTAAAGGGGTAGTGAGTTTATCAAATTTAACATCATTTAAAATCCGTAATATCGGCTGAATGATTTTTAATGGAGAGCCATACTATGAAAAATGAAATATTCGCTTAATTTTTTATTCAGAAAAAATAATTAGGACTTAATTTAATATGATTTCTGATGAATTAAATGTATAATGAAATAATTCTTATGTATTATATCACTAAAGTATATGAAATATATTTTTTAATTGAGGATGTAAGCTTAATTACATTTATATTACATGTTTTTTTTAATATTCTTTTATGAATGTTTATGAATGAAGCTTTTATTGTAAATTTGATTTTTAGGTTGTAAGGCAGCCAACTGCTACAAACAAAGTATCTGCTGCCATTCCAAACGGTCCGGCTATTCGCCAATTTGGCAATAGGATAAAAGATAATGAATATCCAGATGATTCATTTGAAGAAAAAGAAGGAAACTGCTGCGATCACTATCTTGCAAATTTAACAGAACAAACTGCCAAAAGCATTGATCGAGTTTGTAGATGTCTCTTCCCTTGTGCTTTCGTTATTTTTAATCTCATTTATTGGTTCTCCTGGGCACCATAAAATTAAAATTCATAAATTATAGTTAATGTATTTATCTTATGAATTGTTTGAATGAGAAATTTTCATGGAATATTTAATTGGCCATGGTAATTTTCGTGTTAACTAATAATTAATGATTAGTCTAGGACTTGATGCACTGTATGAGAATCAGTCCCGAGCTTCTAAATTGGAAATTTCTCAGGATTTGTAAAGGTCAATCTTTTAGTTGATTTTTTTATCAGTCACACTGTAGAAAATTTCAGATCAAATTACGGTATAAAGTACCATCACTTTGGGTGCAACATCTGTAAAATCCATTTTTACCGCAAAATATTATACTGTAATTTTTACAGCAATTATTTAATTAGAGTGGTTAAGTGGTTTTACCGAAATTATTACCGTAAAAAGTACGGTACATCAGATTTTTTATTCCTTGACTCATTCCAGAAAATAATGGATTTTACAGTAAAAAGCACTGGTGTCTTGAGTGATTAATTGATACGATTTAATTAATATGATTTTTCTCTTGATTTAATTGATATGTTTGAAATGAGTATGCAAATGCAAGACAGAATTGCTATTGATTCAAAGAAATGTTGTTTTTTTAAGTTCTCACATATTGAATTCCATGATTGAAAGCTTAAGTTGATGTGTTGTATGCATGCTCGGTTCTGTAAAAGCGCGCCATAACTGCTGTTGGTTCAAAGAGTAGGCTTTTCTTTAGTTCCTACTTATTGAATATCGTAATCGAAAGATTGATGAAGTTATTGTGTTCTAGACAAGATTTGTTCTTTCGAAATGTGCCACAACTGCTGTTGTTCCGAAGAATTGCAGTTTTTTTTCTTTAGTTCCTACTTATTGAATATCATAATTGTTGAAGTCAATGTGTTCTAGACAAGGTTTGTTCCTTCAAAATTTGCTCCAACTGCTGTTGTTCCAAAGAAGTATTGTTTTTTCTTTACTTCTTTCTTATTGGATTAAATGTTCGAAATATTGTTTAAGTCAATGTATTCTAGACGAGGGTTGTTCTTACAAAATGAGCCACAACTACTGTCGTTCCGAAGAATTGTAATTTTTTTCTTCATTAGTTCCTACTTATTGAATATCATAATCGAAAGATTGTTGAAGTCAATGTGTTCTAGACAAGGTTTGTTCCTTCAAAATGTGCCACAACTGCTGTTGTTCCGAAGAATTGTAGTTTTTTCTTTAATTCCTACTTATTGAATATCATAATCGAAAGATTGTTTAAGTAAATGTGTTCTATACAAGCTCGGTCTTTTAAAACCGAACCATAACTGCTGTTGATCCGAAAAATTATTGCACTTTCTTTAGTTCCTACTTACTGAATACCATGCTCAAAAGATTAAGATGACGCTATAGCACAGTAGAAATTTCAATGCAAATTCTCTGTCAAATCCATAACTAATTTAAAATTTAAGGGAAAGAAAAAGTGAGTTCAGGCAAACCTAGAACAAGCCATGAAATTCCAATTGTTGAAGCAAGGAATTAAAATAACAAAATGCAAACAAATCATTGGAAGGGAACTTCCCCATTACTTAATTTTAAGTTATTTTCTCATATTTTGTTTTCATTTTATTTTGCAAATTTCTTTTCAGTACTTGAAACTTCATATCTGTCTTTAGGCTTTTTTGAGCTCACCTTTTTTATACTTCAAATTTTAAACTTCTTATGGAGGTTAAAGAAAATTTGCAAAGAAAATTTATCCCGTACTATAGCGTTCTCTGAAGTTCACGTGTTCTAGACAAGCTCGGTACTTCAAAATTGAACCATAACTATGATTGATTCGAACAATTGTCATATTTTTTTAGTTCCTACTTATAGAGTTTCATGATCGAAAGTTTAGGTTGATGTGATCTAGACAAGCTTGATTCGCTAAGAGTAAGCCATAATCGATATTGAATCATAGGCTCATTGTTTCATTCATTATAATGTTCAACAAAATGTAAAATGTTAAAGACATACATATTTTTTTATTTAAAGATACACCAATACTTTGATGAATCTTTAAAAAAAAGCTGCGAAAATCAGCGAATTTTTATCGCTGATATTCTATAGTTTTAAAATTACTGTAAAGTTATTATACATTGCTAGTATTTGAAAGTTTAATGTTATTTTTCACTTTATTTCAAAATGTTTCAAAATTCGAAAACTGTGCATAAGCATGGATAAGAAGGTAAAGTGTTCCTTTTTTCCTTATTTCAAAGAAGGACTTTTCCTTTTTTGAAATAAAGAAAAGAGGAATGAATAGTTCAAAGTTGAATTTTCACAAAAGCTAATAGTATAAATTAATAGTCAAAATTAGGAATCGAAATATACCAATATAAATATAGTGGTTAAATAAGATTCCTTTAAATTCTAGTAGCCTGCTTGTATGCAAAAATGATAAATTAATTAAAAATTTTTACAGCAAAATGAATATTTCTCAATAACAAGCTTTGGTGCTATGTATTATTTAAAACCTTTTAAAATATTTTTCACAAAATATGAAACTGCAATGAAAAATATTTTTTACAGGTGTGATTATGAAAAAATATAATGATCGATAATGTTTTTGTCCATAAAGGAATATCTATAAATGATATTGAATTATTATAATATAAATGCAAACAGTGATTTATAAAATATTTCTGCTTTAAGTATGATTTTCTTTCTTTTTAATTATTAGCAGTTATTTGTTTAAAGAACTGATGATATAATTATGCTTAAAATCTTTGGTCAGTTTGAATGTAAATAAATTTTAACTACAATTTTTCATATGTGTTTACATTACTTTTTCAAATATCTGCTTGATTTATGCATTATTTATCAAAATACTCTTGACAAACTTTTATAAATCTTATGGGAAAATGTTTGTTCCTTTTTTAATAATATAGTTCTCTTCGGTAGTTTTTCAATCAGACATTAAATATTGATTATATCTATAATCCAAGAGAAGAATTCGTAAGTTTTTTTTCGCATCTACTTCATCGCTGGAATTCCAAACGGTTTGCTTACAGATTAAGGAATTTTAGACCGATCATTAAAAGACGGGTAACTAAATTAAAAGCAATATTATCGTGATTATTTTTTTACCAAGTGTATGTCAATAATAAAAAATAAACTCACTTGAGGGTTAAAGCCCTAAAAAAGTATAGTATCTTAATTTGAATACGTGTATTTTTATAATATAAATTTATTATACATATAAAAACTCAGCTATACCAATAAAACGTTTCATGTAAAAATAGAACAATACATTATAACTACCAAAATTTTTTAAATTTTTTTTATTTAATTTAACACTTAATTTCTTTCCAACACAGATTTTACAAATGTAACGCTTTCTTTGTATGCACAATTAAGCATGCAAAACACCATCAAGTAGAACCTAACATCGAATCGAAATGTATTGGATAATTATTATAGATTATTATAGAATAGAACAAAACACTTTCTGCATTTTTTTTAAAACTTTAGTATTTAAAATGAAATGATCATGCAGTTTATATTTTTTTAAATACTCTATGCATATGCTTAGGGTTTATCAGAAAATAAGTTTTCTACATGCTAAGACAAAAAATTAACATTTCTTATTTTTAAATTCAAGTAAAAATTATTAATACTCTACCAGAGGGTTAGAGATAAAAATGAAAATGAGAAAGAATATGATTCTTTTTGAATCATTTATGTAGATAATTTTGAATATGAAGAACAAATAGCTTGTAACACCACAGTTACAAATCCTTTGATATCATTTTGAGGCTTTTTAAAAATCAATAATTTTTAACGAATGTCTTATTTCAGCAAAAATACTATACTAAGGTATCAATATTTTACACTAAGGAATATATCTTACGAATATCTCTCTCATTTAAACTCGTTTTATTTCTGTAAAAATACTATATTAAGATATCAATATTTCACACTAAGGAATATATTTTACGAATATATCTTTCAAATAATATTTCGATACTAGAGATCGTAAACTCTAACTATTGATATTCGCAAAATGGATCAACTTCATCGCTAACATTTAGCGACAAATGCATTTAAGCCGCTAGTTTCTAGGTAAGTAGAAATGCTAAAATGTTTTTGCATGATCAGTAGTCTGTTGTATACTAGTATATCTTAGTGCTAGTGTTAGTTAGTGTTTGTATACTGTTTCGTGACGATTGAAAAGTAAATTAATTTTGTGATGTTTTGAGATTAAAATGAATTTGATTTATTTTCTGAAATCTGAATAAGGTTACATTTTATTTTTTAAGAGCAAATTATGAGGTAAGTATAAGCCAATTTTAATTGAGTTATATAATAGGTATCAGTCAAAAAAAGTAACATTTTAATATCATTAGAATATGTAAAAAATTATTTCAATTCAAATGGATTAAAGTTTAAGCATGTTTAGATTGTGAATTCTAATCACAGCAAATTAAAATCAATGTCAATTTAAATTTTGCAAGAATTAAATGTATTTAGATTAACTAATATTAACATTTAAACAAAAACAGTCAGATATGCAATAAATTATTTTCCAAAATTTCATTTAATATTCATCCAAACCAATAACTAATCATCCTACTCCAAATGAAAATTGGAATAGTAAATGAGTATTTTTATACCAAAAAAATTCAACATGGATATTGCGTTAACAGTTTTCTTTGTCACTTTATTGGAGACAGCATTTTTTGATGGGGCCCAGGATCCGGACTTATGTACACTTTAAAAACTAACTGTTTTCTAATACTTATACAAATTTGGTGTTGAAAAACTCGAAAAATAGTGTGAATGATAATTTTATTTTAAGTTGATACCAAATAGAGCATTCTCACAAGCTTCAAATTGTGTAGGTTAATTTTAACACTGGTAATTGATAAAGCTCACACCAATTTGTAAATTTGAAGATCGATGGTGAAGAAGATTGTGTTTTTTAAATTTCACAGAAATTAGAAAAATTTTGCAAAAAATTAGAATATATATTTAAGCTATTTAATTAAATTTTTGTACGAAATTAAGGTAGAGCATGTTTTACTTTTGACAATATTATTAGAAGTGTAAAGGCGAATAATTGTAAAATTTCAAGAAGTTGAAAACATGGCGACCAATATTTTTTTCAGATTTAATTGATCATACCAAGCAATTTTCAATCCTCTTTACCAGTGTTTACCAACTGGCGGTTTTGAGGGCCGCATCCGTCCCGCGAAGCATTTTTTTTTGTGACCCGCGAACTAAAATATATTAGTTGTCATTTTTTGCGGACAAATTTCGTAAAAAATTCTATATGGGCTTAAAATACTTTTCTTTCGTTTAAAAAAACCTAATTTCTTCGTTTCTGTGAAATTTAACATACCAACGGTGCAAAAAAATTTATTTCTCAGGTTTTGCATTCAAGAAAATATTTGTATTATTTGTAATTCAATACTTTTGTTTTGTGCAACTTGACTAACATCTGACAGTAATATTTATTGTTCCTTCAAACATTAAAGAGTCCTATATAAAATTTTGATAAAGTTGCGCCCTCTCCATTTGACTGGTGTTTTAATTGCGGTCCCCGGCCTTTTGTAAGTTGGAAACCCCTGCTTTAGTGATCGATAAAAAATAATAATTGTGGTCGATTATTAGCACAGTAATTTAAATCTTCTCGTCGAATTGTTTTTACAAACTACTCATATAAACTGCTATAAAATTGTGTATGTTTTTAGTTGTATAATAAGAATATTTATATTCTCCTAAGAATTACATAAATCTGTCAATTGTGTAAAATGACCTGATAATATTTAACTTTTAATCACTTCAGTTTTGTTCGAATTCCTATTAATATTCTGCCTGCGCTGTGATGTCTGATTAACAAACTAATTTTACTTTAAGAAATATTGTATGTATGCATTCTAAGTTTATATTTTTTACTTTATATAGTATTGTACGATTAACTTTGCTGATTTGTATGTGTATCTAATTTTACTGAAATTATACATTTTAATGTT